AACGTTGGTGCTTTGACCATGGTTGGTGGTGTCGGGAGTTTGTGCAGGCCTAGGCCTACTTGTAGCCAGGCACTTCTGGGTCATAAGCAATAGGGCCTATCACAAAATAAATAAAAACATTTCTGGGCAACAAAGAAGTATTTTTCGGCTACAATTTTAAATTTCAATTTCCAAAAGCTTACATATACTAATAAAACTTTGAGAAGCATGATGAGAGAAGAGAACAGAGTATAGGCCTAGGCCTAATAGTAGGCCTAAGCTAACTTAAGGCCCTAGGCCTAGGCTAAGGCCTAGGGTCAAATTGGTATTCCCTTTGCTGTTAAGAATCTGCAACAATGACAAATGACGTTCATCTTCTAGTTTTATGAGGAGATGGTAGAGATATCTGTGTATGGTGCAATTTATGTTTGTTTCTTTCTTTATTGGGTTGAATATTACACTGGAGGTACTGCGTAGCTTGACGGACGTCCAACTACACTACAGTATTTAATATCTAAAAATTAAAATACAGTATGGCCATTTTCAGTCAACAAAAATAAACTGACCTCATCACTTTCGTATCTAAGCAAGAACCCCTGGAATAATCTTGTTAATCTAAACTGGCAGATGGCCAACACACACAACCACCACCAACACTAATTTCACTACTACACTACCTTGTAATGTATCCACTATTTTAATTTCTATTGCTTATTTAAATGTAATTTTATTATGAAATTGCAATATGAAAAAAAAACTTAGGTCTGTCTGAAAGTACAAAAGGCAACATGTGATTAGTTATTATGCACCGTATCAATTGAGCTACTCGTTATATAATTTAGGAGGATAACAATGCACTTATAGGATCCTACAGTACTGTTCGAAAGTTTATAACATAGATGATGATTACATAGAGCAGCTGATGATGGCAGTTGCAGTACTAAGTCAGAAACAAAGTACTGAAAAGGGGCATTTTGGTCAATGAAATCAAAGATAATTTGAATTCCGAAGACCAGCTTCTTCTTGGACTGGTAGGAGTCTCATTATATTAGCTTAAGATAACTTTAACAAACTTGATAAGATCACTCGTCATTGTTTTAAAATTCTATTTCTAAATAACACAGTGTATAATAAATTTATTATGAAAATAGAACAATAATTTATTGTCCATATGAATTCAATATTTCAGATGACCAAACCAAGTTGAGAACAACACCTGTCTCAGACCAATTTGATTCCAACCAAAGCTCTTGTATATCAATGCCCATCACTACAGTACTGTTCGAAAGTTTATAACATAGATGATGATTACATAGAGCAGCTGATGATGGCAGTTGCAGTACTAAGCAGGCCTAGGGTACTTAATCTCAACATAAGAAATGTTACAAGTCAGAAACAAAGTACTGAAAAGGGGCATTTTGGTCAATGAAATCAAAGATAATTTGAATTCCGAAGACCAGCTTCTTCTTGGACTGGTAGGAGTCTCATTATATTAGCTTAAGATAACTTTAACAAACTTGATAAGATCACTCGTCATTGTTTTAAAATTCTATTTCTAAATTACACAGTGTATAATAAATTTATTATGAAAATTGAACAATAATTTATTGTCCATATGAATTCAATATTTCAGATGACCAAACCAAGTTGAGAACAACACCTGTCACAGACCAATTTCATTCCAACCAAAGCTCTTGTATATCAATGCCCATCAAACACAGCATCATCCAACCCAACCAAACCCAATGGTACCAATGAAGAAACAATCTCTATGTTCCTCCTATCATCAGCAAGCATGATCATGACCAACCCGACTAAATGTCCAATACCTGAAGAAAAACGATGTACTCAAGACAATAGCGAGATGCTTTAAAAAGAATAGTTTAATAACAATGGCTTTCCAAATGCTCCTATCAACCCAGCTACTGGATTCCAGTTCAGTAATTGGCCAAGGAAATCCTGTCATGTCAAGAAAAGTAATCATCTTTTTTTTGTTCAGATATTCACAATTTCATTATCATTAACATTATCTTCATCATAACCATCATCATATTCATATGGTTTTCATGTTCTTCTCAGATGACCTGTCAAACTAAATGTTATTTATTTTTGTAAATACATGTGTTTGGTATTTGACAATTCTTCAGATGTTTCTTCAAGGGTCATAATGGATGGCACATCAGGCACGTTACTGAATGAGCAACAACAATAACAACTATAAAAGTTAAATAACTAAACTCACTTTCACTTGGTCCCACTAGCTGTGTCTCATGTTTATCAC